ATGTTGCAAGACTGATTAGTATATTAAGTAAAAACAAAATAATGTTCTACTTAAAAAGGTCAAGATCTTCAACAGCCTCCAATTCATTGTGATTATTTTTACGTCAATAAAGGATTCAGCGTAAAGTGTGACCAATCATTTTAAAAATCTGCAATGAAAGTGCAACCAACTATGTTATTTGTCAAATTGCAGCATAGTTTACCAAAAGGTGAACAAATATTTCTGCATATTGATATAAATTGACATACGTGTTATCAAATGTATTTTACCTATCAGAATAATAATTGAAATCATAAATTTACATAAAAATAAGCATTTTTGTTAATTATTTGCACCCTTGAGCGGTGGCAGTGCCAATGTGCTGAATACCTTTGCGGCGGTGCTAGAAAAATGATTGAATAATACGCTGTTTGTAGCTCTATTACTACCAATTGCTTATAAAATCTACATTTTAAAACAATTCTCACAAAAGGTGAATTTGTTACTTTTGACAAAAAGAAATTTCCACATTTCACTCCAAAACTTTCCTCTCTTACTATTTTGCACTCTTTATACAAATCTGTTTTGTAGAAAGTGGCTGGTGAGTGAATCTTTTAATTGAAGCATGCTAAAATTTTCTGAGAGTGATCTTCTAAAGAGTGATTTGTGAGAATAGTAAGGTAAAATCACTAATAAAATAACTGGCCAAGTGCGAGTCCGACTCATGCGCGAAGGGTTCTGTACCATTAACTATAAATAAAATCATGTCTGCTGTATGGGAGTCCTTCTTAAATATTTTTTTTATTCTGTTTTTTAGTATTTCTTTTCATTGCGGCAACAGAAATACATCATCTGTTAAAATTTCAACTGTAACTTACACAGTTGATGAGATGCATCCAGGTGACAGACGGACAGACAACTGAGTCTTAGTAATAGGGTCTGGTTTTACCCTTTGGGTAAAAAGGTACTGTAAAAAGATAAAATATTATTTAAAACAATGTATTTTGTCATTTGAAAGGTCGGAGGGAGTCCGAGGTGCCGTCATCGGTATCGACTTGGGAACGACAAACTCTTGTGTCGCCGTTATGGAGGGAAAGACGCCCAAGGTATGATTTTTACCTAAAATATAGTTATTACATCATTAACTTTTTAGTATATGTTTATGAAATGGCTGCAAACGCGAAAAATCTCCAATGATTCCGAAGATGTAACTGGATTGTAATCTAGTTATCTCAGAAACAATAAGGCTGCAGTGAGCTATTTGAGAGTGAGTGATTTGAGATGCTATTAGGTTTAAAGACTGAGTGTTTTTTTTTTTTTTACTAAAATAATTCTAGAAAACTTAAAATTTAAAGTCGAGATTATTGTAAAGCGTAATAAGGTGTTAAACCTTTTATTCTTTATCATGTTTCTATAGTTCCTTTTTTATATCTTATCGCATTTCAGTGATATTTCTATATTAGCGACAACTAACATAGTATAGGGTGGATATTCTCAAACCGTCGATCAGCGTTCGCGTTCATACGCGTGTCGCTTTTGCAGCGGTGCCAGATTGAAGCATGGCACCAGCTGGCCACGGCCGCATGCCAATGGCTTTCCTAGAAACCGAGCGACATTGCCTTTCCAGAATATTCGACTAAATGAAAGTTATGTAGCCCATAACATATTATGGGAGTTATAATACAGCGGGATGGATGCCCAAAAACCCAACTAATTGTTGTCATGCATTGTTGCGATGATATAATTATATGATTATAATACTATATAAAAATAGTTTACTGACATGTATCGGTGTCTAAATCCATCTTCACTATTACTATTTTATCCATTGGAGTTGTTTGTCAATGTCCTCGTGAGTAGGAAGTATGATTCTCTTGCGCGAATCTTTCAAAAAAACAAAGGAATGATCTCTAAATGCACTTTTTTGTTGCGTAAGGATTGTACAGTTTTTATTTATGCAACTAGCCCCTGTTTAAGTTTTACATAAGCAAGATTGGGGGTGGGGACGTGGGGAGGAGGTCATCTTTATCTTACTTGCGGTTAAGGCAGCTGCGGCAAATTCACATAATTCACACAAATATTAAAATTGCCCCAATATATATTTTTTTAAGTTTACAATGCGTGCCGAATTCGAATCCAATAGTTGCCATGACCGCCGCCGCCAGTGGACTTCTAAAACATCAGCGCTGTTACCGACGTGGAGCATGACCCTTTCTTTCGAGCGCCGCTCACCGGCCCTGACGCACGGCCGTTAGTTACATAACTTCGTAGCTTTCATAAGGACTTCATAATGACAATGTAACTAACGGCCGTTCGTTGAATATAGGAACCGGGCTTAAATAAACGCTCACCGCGCGTGGGGCGTGCCCCAAGGTGCTTGCGCTTCCCCCATAGCTTTCCCACGGCTAACAACCGCTCACGTGGCGGCCTCCCCCAGGTGGTCGAGAACAGCGAGGGCTCCCGCACTACCCCATCGCACGTGGCCTTCTCAAAGGACGGCGAGCGGCTGGTGGGCATGCCGGCGAAACGGCAGGCGGTCACAAACAGCGGGAACACATTCTACGCCACCAAGCGCCTGATCGGGCGGCGGTTCGACGACCCCGAGGTGCAGAAGGACATGAAGAACCTCTCGTACAAAGTGGTGCGAGCGTCGAACGGCGACGCGTGGGTGCAAGGTGAGCTACACGGACAAGGGATATTGTATAAATAATAATAAATCAATATTTTGGGGACAGTTTTACACAACACTATCTAGTCGCTGAAAACTGAGGAGATTGTACTATGGATACTAGGTAACTGTAACACACTGAAACGTAATTTTCTTTTGTAAATAATAAATACATATTATAGACGTATTAACACACACTATTTTATATCTTACATAAGACAAACTTTTTCCAGTAGTGGGGATCGAGCCCAATTTTTAAAATCAACCCTAACCCTGGGCGTAAGATGTCCAGGGCGACGGTATTATACCACAGGTGAACCGTCTGCTCGTTTGGCAACTTTTCACATAAAAAAGAAAAATATTTCGGGGACAGTTGAACACAACATCATCTAGTCGCTGAAAACTGAGCAGATTGCACTAATTTTCTTTTGTAAATAATAAATACATATTATAGACATATAAACACTCACACTATTTTATATCTTACATAAGACAAACTTTTTCTAGTAGTGGGGATCGAACCATCACCCTCTGGTGTAAGAGACAGGGTCACTATACACTACGCCAATTGGGCCGTCGGTACGAATACAAATGATACTGTAAACAATTGCAAGTCACCTGGCTGCTACTGATTTTATACTTAAATAATCTTGTAAACTTATATAAAATTTAAAGGATTAAATTAGAAATTCATCTGGCACATTCAATTATATAATGGCATAATGTATAATGGAGCAATTCTTAAAAGCTGCGCAGTATGGACATACGGCATCTTTTTAAACATGGTTGGAGGCGGACAACTCTGGCATTTTCTGCCTCGCGCAACCGTTACTTGGAACCCTTAAGACCTGGGAACCTTCAAGAGGTGGGGATATTTATGACCCGCGGTTGGTTGTTTCGCATCTGGGTGTTTTTGTCACGGTTTCACATCTAGATCGATCCGATACCCACCTAGATGGGATAAGGGCAGAAGAAAGAAGATGCGAGAAGTCGGGAAACCAGCTAGCGCCCAGGGGCGAGACATCTGTGTCGCCACCTTTAAAAAAATGAGCTCCGATTACTAAAAATTCTGCCACCAATGCTAATGCAAAGGATAAATATGTCTGGTAACAAAACATTCCAGATGTTTTTCGGTCTCTAAAATCTAATAGAATCTGAAGAAAGTATAGAATGGCTTAATGCATGTTTTATTTTGCCACTTGATCGATTAGACCGGTTTACTTTCGACGGGTGAACCTACTTTAGCGCGAACGACATTATTCCGCATATAGTCGGCATGATTAACTGCTTATCTTGCGACGCATTTTCGTACTGTGCAAACTAATGTAACGTTCCATAACGTATATGTTGTTCTATAAACTGGTTTATCATAGATGGTTAACGGTCCCCTTTCGTTGACTGTCTGAACGTTAGCGAACCGCTTCACGGTTCTGTTTTTACCCGACTGCTAGGAAAGTAAAGTTTTTCGAGCGCTTTATGCATGTCGCATATTGAAATTCGTCACTATCTGTCACTGACGACACTAATGATACCTTAGGCGTCTTAGTTCTGGGGGTGGGAATTCAATATGATGTTCGCGGAAAAAAATGAGAATAAGTTGGATAAGTTGTAAAGTGATTTTGGCGCCAAAAGTCTGTCATTTTTTTTTTCGCAATGACGAAGGTTGACTTTTAAGAATGCCATTAGGCATTAAGTCCGAGAAATGTAGATCTTAGTTTAATAAATAAATGACTATGGAGTATAAATAAATCAATGTCAAACATACTATAACCCTTTTGATTGGTTATTTTATACCTAATAATAGTGTTGACTGTCTGTTGTGGTCGAGCCACGCAACATCAAGTATAACGGCCTTGGATAAACTTGGGACAAAGTGAAATGATTATGTAAAGTCTTAGAGTGGTAGGCAAAAAAAAAAAAATTCGCACCGTCGATCAGCGTACGCGTCTATACGTGTGATGCTTTTGCAGCGGTGCTAGAATAAGGCGTGGAACCAGCTAGCCACGGCTCGTATCGCTGGCTTTCCTAGAAACCGTGCTACATTTTTATCCATGTCGATTTATCTTCTAGAACTTTCTGGGGTTAGCATAGTTCTTTATGTCGCTATGTCCTTCGGTTATTGATGCTAGAGAGATGTTTGTTTGATTTGTATATCGCGTTTGATTTGATATTTCCGATGTTACGGATAATATACATTTTTGAACGCGACAAGTAATTACGTAAATCGAAAATATCCTTATTTTTTCATATGTAACACATTCGATTTACCATTATAAGTTATTTTATGTTATGCATTGTGTTCTCAAACTATTACAAAGTAAATTATAATCAAGGAAAAATTATACTATCTCCTTGATACCAGCCCTCTAGATGAATTGGAAATCGATGCAATCGGTGCCAATCTGTGGGGGAGGTGTATGTTCAGCAGTGGACTAGAACGGGCCGAGATGATGTTGCGATCCAAACTACTGCACCAGCGTGTGGCATAATTTCTAACGTTCGATGTGAATTTTTGTAGATAAATGGGCAAAATCGGCGAGATCGAACCTCCATCTTGTAGTTACCAGCTTGCAGCGACCAGGCTGGCGCTGAAAATACAAAAAAAAATCAAAATATTCAAATAGACGCTTGCAAGTTCTTATGAAACGTCGAATTTTACATAAAAATTGATAAATAAGCTCGTAAGTTAGTTCCACCGGTTCTGAAATCACTTTGCGTTCAGAAGAGAAAATAGAACATTGGTATGACAGTCTTTTGGCCTACGTGAATATCAACAGCATTAACTCCACACATTTGTTATACAAACAATTCTTTATTGTACTAGAAGTTTGTACAAAGGCAAACTTAATGCTAAATAGAATTTTCTTCCAGCTAACCTTTGGTGGTAGAGTACAAATTACGGGTAGTAACGCTAAAATGACATACAAGATTTTTAGTGTCTATCATAAAGAATATGGCAAAACGAAATATACACATTGGCGTCGTCGAGATATTCCGCAATGGTATTATATGCTCTAGCCATATTTAAAAAATATTAAACATGCTGATAAATGTTAACGTTCGCTTCGCTTCCAGGCAGCGACGGCAAGGTGTACTCGCCGAGCCAGATCGGCGCCTTCGTGCTGGTCAAGATGAAGGAGACAGCGGAGGCTTACCTGAACACGTCCGTGAAGAACGCCGTGGTCACCGTGCCGGCCTACTTCAACGACTCGCAGCGGCAGGCAACGAAGGACGCCGGTATTAAAACTCTTCAAAATATCTTTATTCAATATATTCCGGTATTTAAACTTCAAAATACCTTTATTTATATAAAAAAAAAAACATATTAAGAAAAAAGCAGACAACGAATGAAGCCCGTATTCAAACTCCTTTATTCAATATAGGCCGGTATTCAGACTCTTCAAAATACCTTTATTCAATATATTCCGGTATTTAAACTCTTCAAAATATATGACGTTATTGAAATTGAAATATCTTTGTTCAATATAGAAGCATTACACTTACTTATAGGTTTTCACTTCTTACTTTTCACCGATAACCGTTGGGGACGAAAAGGTTCTCGAGTGGCAGCCTCGTACTGGCCATCGCAGTGTAGGACGACCCCCCACTAGATGGAGTGACGACCTGTGCAAATGTGCGGGAAGTCGATGGATGCAGGTGGCTCAGGATCGTACTCCGTGGCAGTCTATGGGGGAGGCCTATGTTCAGCAGTGGACTCAAACAGGCTGAAATGATGAATGATGATGATGATAGGTTTTCAAAACAGTACTACCGGTTTGGAAAAAAAATCCACTTGTCTTATGAAACTGTTTATTTAAACAGTTTTATTTATTACTTATTCAATAGGCTAGTATTCAAAATCAAATATCTTTATTCAATATAGAAGTATTACACTTGCTTAATGATTGTCAAATACTACTCTACCAGTTTGGAAAATCAAGTCACTGACCTGAGAACAACTGGCGAAAGAAAGTCAGTGGGACAATTTTTTTTAGCTATTATTTGACTATAAAAATGATTCTTATATGTATATAATAGCCCACTTGAAAAACCATGCAGCGATCAATTCATTACCAGAGTAAAAATTTTATCATTTAAATAATTTTTAATATAATGATAACATTTAACACACAAACATATCTTAGATTTTTTTTAGCTTAGCAATTGATTCATTTTGAATGTTTTCTGATATTTTATTGTAAAAACGTGTACTATGTCTATTAAAATATTCGGTCAATAAAAATTCAGAGTTTAGCAAACACATTAGGAACCGATAAAGTGAAATAATTTCTCAACTAAACTGCATATCTGCCCCAGGATTATCGTGATATGATAAATATTTCCATTTTGTCCCTTTGTACAATATTAACTTAATTCTGTAGTTGATAACTCTCATAAAGCTTGATTTGAAAACTTACTTGGAGAAGATGCTAAAAGCCATTGGCATTGAATGGAGATTGCTGGTGGATAAATTAGTATTTACAAAATGATGGTTTACTTTAAAGTTTACTACTTCGATTAATTTAGAATGATTGCTATAATGGTCTAAAGAAACGTGATTGATTACATTGGCCGCGAGACTTATTACGTTTATGTTAATATCAAGGCAATTATCTCCACAATGGAACCTTCAGTAATGCAATGACCGCGCTTTTTGTCAATACAGTGACGTAAATACAATTATAAGTTGCCATTTAAGTGAAAATTTTTCACTCATGTTTTACTAGTGGCAAAATTTGATCATAGTTATAGATAAATAACCGTTAACATTTCATTCTTTTTAAATTGTTCTGCCAGTTTAAAAACTTACAGTGGCAAGTTTTAAATAAACAGAGATCCGTTTAATTAAACTTGGGCCTAATAAGGTGATATCTTTTTTAATTGGCTCATATATTATGTCAATTACATGTAGGGTAACCATATTGGATTGCGTGAATGTAAAATTTTAAATAAATGCATATGCAATATGCACACGTAAGCAGAACTATACTGCAAGATAAATACAAACATTTGTCTTTTATTTGTAATAAAATCATAGTATTTAAAATTAGTTTATTTCGAAAGACTTCTTTTTAATTTTTTATGTCTGCTTTTAAATACATACTTCGACTGGAACAGATATCGAGGCGAGCGCCCTATTGCTGTGATACCTCATTTTTGGTGTGTGCTTTTTATTACTCAAGCACTCTAGATCAGCCGTCTCGCTCTTGCGTGGCGCGTTTCTCCCACGGTGCGAAAGAGACGCACGATTCGGATTGGTTGCGGTTACTTACCGCATACTGGTCCTCGATCGAGCGACACTTTATTTTTTAATTTGCACCCTTTTTTTTCTTTTGTGGGATTGTGCTTGTGTTTTGGTTTAAATACACTTTACACATTAAATGATTAATTTTGTTTATTTGTTTAACGTATTTGAGAACTGAAATAGACAATGTATTTAAAAGTTTTGTTTTATTTTAGTTGTTTGATGCATTTATTAGTTTGTTTTGTTTTATTTACACTTGTAGTTTTTGGCATGATTTAGGTAGTTTGTTTTATACCAAGTGTATTAGAAGCTGTGTGTAATTGCATGGTGTTTATATGTAGATAATACTGGTATCCGTGGCAGTGCGCTCGCCTCAAAATCTTTCCTTACTCGAAATCCTTTTGAGTGTCTTTTATTATATTCAATATTTGCAACACCCGTAGAGTTGCCGATGGGTTGCCACCATTTAATAAAGAGGGCCCCGATTCCTCATTCATCGGAAGAAGCGCAGAAGATGTGTGAAACACTTATACTACACGCCGGTCTTTTATGAGGTCGTGGAATTTTCCCGAACGGACCTGCCCATTCGTGAAAACACTGTAACGGACGAACTCTGATGCGTGGCCCAGCTATAGTTTCTTTTTGCCTGCTTATTGTGCCTTGTAACGGTGGTAGGGCCACGCAGCAGCCTCGGCTGTTGCACAAATGGGCAGGCCCGTCCGGGTAAGTACCACGACCTCACAGAAGACCAGCGTAAAGTGGAAGTATGACAAATACTTCCGCGTTTCGTCTGGTGAGTTAGGTAGCCGGAGCCCAATTCTCAAAAGGTTGTCAACGCATCTGTAACCCTCGGGTGTGGCAGATGTCCGTGGGCGGCGGTATTCACTTAACATCAGGTGAACCGTCTGCTCGTTTGACAACTTTTCGCATAAAATAAATAAAAATAAATTATGTTACCCTTCTTACGCTTGTCTCGATATTAATACAAACTTCACCACCGCAGGCCAAATCGCCGGTCTTAATGTGCTTCGTGTAATCAACGAGCCGACGGCGGCTGCACTCGCCTACGGAATGGACAAGTCTGACGACAAAATGTAAGTTTTGGGTAAAATTTATACTTAATATAATATAATAAAGCTGAAAATTTTGTATGTTCAAACATACTGCTTACTTTCAGAGATTAGCGTTAACGCTAATCTCTGAAAGTAAGCAGATTTTGAAAAAATCGGTCAATATATTTAACATCACGCTACGACCTACGGGGGCGCAGCAGAACCGTTTCCCGCGGTTGAAATAGCATGAAACAGCTAGTAGTTCGATATAAATGGACTGAAATAGAATTATTACAAAAAACTAATAGAAAACACTAAACAATATTGTAAACATTCATAATAATTTTCTTTATACACAATCCTTAGCTATAATGTTTTTAATTTAGATCATAACATACACAATGTGTCAACACTGTTGTGTGGTTCCTGAGAAACTATCAACTTGATAACATCATATTTGTGAATGTTTGTGGTGTTGGTTTTTTTATGTGAAAAGTTGCCAAGCGAGCAGGTGGTTAACCTGATGTTAAGGGAATAAATACCACTGCCCATGGACGTCTGTTACACCCAAGGGTTTGCAGATGCGTTGACAACTTTTGAAAATTGATCTCTGGCTACCTCATTCACCAGACGAAACGTGAAAGTATTTGTCATACTTCCACTTTACGCTGGTCTTCTATGAGGTCGTGGTACTTACCCGGACGAGCCTGTCCATTCGTGCATCAGCTGAGGCTGCTGTGTGGCCCTACCACCGTTTGGTAAAAGCATACTAAAAATAAATAGTCGACTAAAAGTACGAATGCACCGTCGATCAGCGTTCGCGTCTATACGCGTGTCGCTTTTGCAGCGGTGCCAGATTGAAGCACGGCACCAGCTAGCCTCGGTCTCATACCTATGGCTTTCCTAGAAACCGAGCTACATTCATATTATGTCATAATATTTAACAGCCGAACGTGCAAAAGGTGTGGTGGTAATCACTTAACAGCAGGTGGTTCAATAGATGTTCAGTTATTACCACTAGCCCCGATCTTTTACCACGATGAGTTGCGGATACATTGCCAACTTAAAAAACAATGGGCCCCAGTGACCTACCTCACCAAACGAAAGGATCACAATCCTCACCATAGGAGTACAATACTTTCAATTCATTCATGCTGGTCTCCTGTAAGGTTGTGGTAGGTCCCGAATTTGTTGCATGGCCCTACCACAGTAAAACCTGGAAGCAAAAACTGCGTAAATTACTCTTATGGTTTAAAAGCTTTACAAATGATAAACTGTGAGAAAGTATAGTTTGTGTTAGAATTGCTGTAGCCATTAAAATGTATGACCATTCATGCAGAATCGCCGTGTACGATCTGGGAGGCGGCACGTTCGACATCTCTGTATTGGAGATACAGAAGGGCGTGTTCGAGGTGAAATCTACGAACGGTGACACACTTCTCGGCGGCGAGGACTTCGACAACGTGATCGTCAACTTCCTGGTGGACGAGTTCAAGCGTGACGTGAGTAACCTGACCACACTAACCCATCGTTCCCTCGTTGCGACTCCGTCACTCCACTTTTAACGTCCATCAACCCAGTGCACAATAAAGGCGGGTACAGAAGAGATGAATGTTATCCAAATCTCAATAAACTTATATACTCCTAAAACTATATCACATAACAAGCATATTGCTGTTCACCAGAAGAATATATGGGACAGTCACGTTTAGTGTATTAGAAATCCGAATAATAGAAACTGATTGTGAATTGAACGAACTAACTAACTAACAGACCTGGAAATCCGAATAATAGAAAACTCATTATGAAGTTAACTAACTAACAGACCAACACTGTTATATGGTACCTAAGAAACTATCAATTTGATAGCATAATATTTCTGATTGTTTATGGAGTTGATAAAAGCAAACTAAAAACAAAAGGTATAAAAGTAAGTCCAAGGCAAACATACTAACCGTTGAAGTAACACTCGTCAAGCCACCTTTGTTAGCTTTAAAATAATGAACTCAAGGTATTAATGCACCGTCGATCAGCGTTCGCGTCTATACGCGTGTCGCTTTTGCAACGGTGCTAGATTGAAGCCCGGCACCAGCTAGTCTCAGTCTCATACCTATGGCTTTCCTAGAAACCGAGCTACATTTCACGATTCAAATAAAATTTTTAAAGATACACATTAAAGTTAAAACTCTTATAAGGTATCCTTTATTGTTTATGGTACCACTAGTTTATTCTTGTTTCTGTGCCTTGGTTCCTATAAGTGAATTAACATCATGTTAAACAAGAATTCCAAATTTAATAATGCAAGTTAAATTATAGGACTAATTGTGTTAGTATATAAAAAATGTGCTGAGTCTAAATAATGCATTCCAATAAAAATGTACACCTTAAAAAGTCATTTATAAATGTTACATGCCATTCATAAATGACTTGGTGGAGCAATTGCCAAGCCTTTAGCTTCGGCGTTCGATTCCCACATGGGACGAATGTTTGTGTGACCTACGGATAATTGTTCAGGATCTGGTTGTTTGGTCCCAAGGAAGGTTGAAGCTAGGCAGCTGGCTGGTCATAAAATCTCCAAATACATACATATTGCGTCAACCCAAATTGGTGGAATAAGAGCAGGAGAGATAAAAGACATGCAGTAATGTTTGTTTCATTTAGGAATGATTATTAACAAGTTTATTTTCCCTCCAGCAAGGCATTGACATCCGCAAGGACGCTATGGCGATGCAACGATTGAAGGAGGCCGCAGAAAAAGCAAAGATCGAACTCTCTGGATCCCTTCAGACTGACATCAACCTTCCCTACTTGACCATGGATGCATCTGGACCTAAGCACATGAACCTCAAGGTAAAAGATCTCCAACCCTCTATTGTTACCTTACTAGTAGATAATAGAGAGAGAGTTTAAGAGAGAGTTTAAATTGGGTCTATATTATCAAATATAGACCCAATTTGGGTTTCTTTTTTCTTGTTGTATGTTACATACACTGAGGTTTGAGCTTCTCACCTTTTATTCCTTCCATTCACTATTTTTAATACCTTTATAAAATAGTTTATAAAAAGATATATATAATTAAAACATAATGCACTGCAATTCGATAACATTCAAGCAGTCATTTCCTTGAAGGCAAATTGAGGTGCAAGAATAAAACAAAAATAAACCACCTACCTCTGCTGTCTATGCAGATGTAGGTCAAAACATTTTGTTACATTTTCTTGAACAATATACTATATACATTTCAACGAAGATGAATCATAATAACCAAACTGTCCCTTTGTACTTTACCTTAGACTAAAAAGTATAAAGTATTAGTTACACAAATACAATTATTTTAGCGTTACGCGTAATCACGTCATTTTCGTAGATTAAAATTTTATAGATATGTAATTTTACACATTGTTGTTTAAAAACATGTCGTGAAATATTTGTTTATTTAAATACCATATATCTCCAAACCTGACATAGTATAGCATGTAATATTGTAGGCTCTCCCAACATATTATTTTCAGAATTTCATATAGCCTTCTCGCTGTAATAATGACAGAAGGAGATTTTGCATGTAGTAATATTATTAAAGGAAAACTCGTTTGTTGGCGCAAATTGATTAGAATTCATGGTCTCAACATAATAAATCCCATTCCCAGGTGACTAGACTATCTGACAGCATAAAGGATAGTAAACCGGTCTCTTGCCCAAAATTTTTTTTCAGTAGTAGGGGTTGACCCTACTACTGAAAAAAAATTGTGTAATAGTAGTGGTTATTTAGTGTCCGGGTGTTTATATACCTAAAACAGCCAATTGTTTACCTTACTAAAATATTTCTACCAACATATTCACATGCGTAATTTGATTACAGATGACGAGATCGAAGCTGGAATCGCTCGTCGGCGATCTGATAAAGCGCACCGTGGCACCGTGCCAGCGCGCCCTCCAGGACGCCGAGGTGCAGAGGTCCGACATCGGTGAGGTGTTGCTTGTGGGCGGTATGACCAGGATGCCAAAGGTGAGACCGGCTGATCAAATCAAATCAAAAATATATTTATTCTAATAGACACTTGCGCTTTCTTATGAATCGTCAAATATTACATAAAAAATTATACAACGTGTCGTTACCACCGCGACAATAAATGAACACACATATAGAGGATAACTTTTTAAAATTGTATTAAACATTTACATTCTTTATACATCAATTTTTACCTAGTTATTAAATTTTCGAAAATAAACAATTTTAGAACACCCTTACGTGTAAAACTGTAACGTAAAGTTCATTTGTAAAGGTCACAAAGCATATGAATGGGTTGAATGAATTTAAAAGAGACAAAACATACTGTTAGAAAGAGAGGCTTGTAATGCGACGCTGCGGCGCGAGTTGTATAGGATGTTACAAATTTTGTTTCTTTTTTACTTAATTAGTTTGTTTGAAAAATATTTTTTTTTTAATTATGGATTTTGTTTAATGTCAATATTTTTTTATGATTATTGGCAAGTAGCGTTTTTTATGATTATTGGCAAGTAGCGTTAGACATGTGTTCATTTATTGTCGCGATGGTAACGACACGCTGTATATATAGGTTTTTAAGGTTTCTATTCAGAAGAGACCGGCAAGAAACTCAACAGTTTCTCTTTTTCAAAAGTATCACTTTACAATATAACATACAGGTATAATAGTCTTATTCTAGGCTACAAGTGTATTCCGCAATGGTATATTATATGATGCATATTGTCTAGTTTAAATGATTGATTGTTGTCAGCTGATGGTTAGATAGCAATTTTAGAGATATAGTAAATGCAAGCTGCTGTGCGTGACATTAATGGATGCAGATGGCTCGGATCTTGTTCTTCTTCATGGCAGCCTGTAGGGAGGCCCTATGTTCAGCAGCGGACTCAAACAGGCTGAAATGATTATGATGATTAAGCTGATGTATGAATAGTTTGGCGTTGCTGAGGAAGTAGAATAGACTGGAAGGAAACAAAAGCGATAGAGTATATATTATGTTTGCCCTAGTGTGTTACTTAACCCAAGACTGTATGATAATATGGGCTTATGAGCTCAATGCTTAGATTAGATTGAAAAGCGAATTAAACTGTTTGTTTTCCATATTTTCTTCAACAAAATTATAATTAAATAAGCACTGCACAAGCCGACGTCAGTTTAAAATGACTGTCTAGGCTGTCTTTAGAGACAGGTGCCATAAAAAATTGAAGCCATATTCCCCGATTGTGTATTTGCGCTCTCGGGTTATAATCTTACAGACATTTAACTTTTTCATGGCAAGAACCTTGCTATAATTCCCAAAAGGTATTCATTATTCACCAAGTCACATGAGAAATCCATATTAGGATATACAACTACATTTAGATGTGTGTTTTATCTTTTAATCTTACTCAGATTATGCTCTCTGAGAATGGTTTCTCGTGTATTTTAAATAAATGGTATTCACTAACGAATACTTGAAAACTATTCTTTTTCAATTAGCAATTGGTTTACATTTGAAAATGTACAATAATTAAATCAATGGAGGTACTGCGAAAAGCGCTTTGTCTAACCGGGCACAATCGGCGACACAGGTTCAGCAGACCGTGCAAGATATATTCGGGCGGGCGCCGTCACGCGCCGTGAACCCCGACGAGGCGGTGGCTGTGGGTGCGGCCGTGCAGGGCGGCGTGCTAGCCGGCGACGTGACAGACATCCTTTTACTCGACGTGACACCCCTGTCGCTCGGAATCGAGACGCTGGGCGGCGTGTTCACAAAGCTCATCACCAGGAACACCACCATACCGACGAAGAAGAGCCAAGTGTTCTCGACAGGTCGGTACTGGGAAATATGGTCTTATTCTGAATTACCTAAAAAAAATTCTAATAAGTTTATTATGCAACTTTCGGACTTTTTTTCAACTTTCTATTGATTTAAGACTCTGATGCCCGATTTCTGAAATACTGATCATTGTAGATGTTAACTAGTCAACTGTCTAATGGCTTTCCAAATGTCATTTGAGTTGCCATAATGGTTAAACTCTGAATTGATCAATCTAATCATTAAGAAAATCATTGTGGTTATTAGCTGATTAGTTACACTACAACAGTGTTTCAGAAACGGGCGTCAATCTGAAATGCGAAAATTGACTTACAAATATTGTACAGCTTATTTGCCATTTCTTATCCTTTGGATTGAGATGTGAATAGCTTATTTTTATGTATTTTATTTACAACATAAGCACTTGTCTAAACCACTTTGCTTGCATAGTGTAGTGGCAAAGCATGGTGCGAGAGAATATGGATTGTCGCACGAACGGCCGCGTCACTGTGACGTGTCGATACGAAACGCTGTCCTACATTTTTCTATCTTTTTTTAATACTTAATTTTAATAAATGAAAATACTCGGTAATCACTTTTAAATACAAAAACACATGGGCCAGTTTAAGAAACAACCTTACCAAATAAGTGTGAATTAGAAACATTCATCCTGTGTTTTACATACATAAATTTCATGTGTCAACGCATCAAGCCCACGTGTGTTTAGATGGCCATTGGCGGCGGATTCGCTTAACATCATGTGAACCGCGTGCCCGCTTAGCAACATTTTCACATACGAAATAAAAACACAGCTGTAACGAAATCCGTTCCCCGCAGCCGCCGACGGACAGACCCAAGTGGAGATCAAAGTGCACCAGGGCGAGAGAGAGATGGCCGCAGACAACAAACTCCTCGGGCAGTTCTCCTTGGTCGGTATCCCGCCGGCGCCACGCGGCGTGCCCCAGATCGAGGTGACCTTCGACATCGACGCGAACGGAATCGTGCACGTGTCCGCCAGAGATAAAGGCACTGGCAAGGAGCAACAGAGTGAGTAGTCTGGAACGTTCTGTGTTTTAATGCGGTGCAGATGTTTCCAATCCTGTTATATCCGTTATTGTTATTCAGTTTGATATCGTGAAAGACAAATAAGTGAATCTTCCGATTTGAAGTGAAGGGGCACAAGTATAATTAAATGAAGATCTTTAAGGAAAATATGCATGCTGACTATATAAAAAAGCTTTTAGTAACTTAGATTTTCGTCGGCATGGCAATAATCCATTAAGCTAAGTGGTTAGCGTCCTTTTTCGCGTCGTGTTAACATGTTCACCATAAAATGATTAATACTGAATTTTGAACATCTATGGAACCAAATTTATACATATATACTTGATTATGATTATAAATGTAGCCTAAATAAATCCTTTCATCAAAACATTTCGAAATTGCGAGTTACATTTCAAGTAAATTAAGTAACACATTAAAAAATTTACTAACCTCTTCACTTTCTAAACAGTCGTGATCCAGTCTTCGGGTGGCCTGTCCAAGGACGAGATCGAGAACATGGTTAAGGCGGCCGAGCAGTTTGCGTCTGCGGACAAGCAACGCCGTGAGCGCGTTGAAGTGTCGAACCAAGCCGAGGGTGTGTTACATGACACGGAGACCAAAATGGACGAGTACAAAGCACAACTGCCGCAGGAGGAGGTAATCATTTTAAGGGTTTAATGCATCTAGATCAACCAGGCTACAATTTTTATTCAAATTCCCAAACATTATTAAAAGGTGGCAAAGCATCTGCAACCCTATGGATTAACCCACTTAACATCAGGTAAACTGCCAGCTCATTTGCAAAATGCTAAGATGGATGTGCTACATCACCAGGCTTGATAAAACCAGTTTTGACCATAAACAACACAGTCTAGCTTTTAGCCCCATCAAGTTGCCCTCATATTGAAAATTTAACACTGCATTAAATTAACCATAATTTCAACTATGTGCAGATGTTATCAATAACTAATGTAAATAATAGTGTCTAGTCTTATACAATTCCTTGTTCAATGCAATCAAGAATCTTTCCTTCTAAACCTGTAGATTGTTTTCAAAGTTGACTGTGTTGACCTTGTCTATTCTTGTGGGGCCATAAATAGCTATCCCCGTTATTTAGGTGTTCCTGGATATATTATCCTTAGATGATATATCCAGAAACTCCTAATCTGACAACATATGTTGTGATAATTACTAAGAAATTTTTTTTTTATTGTTGCACTTTTCGAAACCATTCGGCTTACATAGTCGAATGGCAAATTATTGTGCTAGATAAAATGGTTTGTCGCGCGAACCGCTACGTCTCATTGGCGTCTCGGTACGATACGCTGTCCTACATTTTTTTTCATTTAGCAACAAAAATAACATGTAAGATGACTTGTCACCTACCCATCAGTAATATATTCTCATTCATTTCATCAAATATTGTAAATCTTGTATAGAAATGAAAAAGTATGCTGTACATACTACATATACATCACATTTAGTAAATCTAGAACAGAACTAATAAATGTCCATGAACATAGCAGTAATTACTATACAATTCATGAATCTTCTGTAAGCTTGCTAATTTTTCAAATAAAAAGATTAATAATGTAATGAATGGTGTTCATAAATAATGCGCCAATGCTCAACATTTGCTACATGTGCCAACTGCAGATTGGTGGACTTAGATATCTACGAAATAATTTATTTAGTTATTGTTGTTAGATGTTTCCCTTCACCGCTGAACAATTTATAAATCAACACTTAAAATTAAGTTAATCTCCGAGTTCAATCTCTGGTGACACCACCATGTTTATGGATTATCGCTACATTGTGTTGGGTTATTTTGTAATCTTTCTTTAATATCCCACATGTTGTAAACCTTTGCCAACAGTGCGATAAGCTGCGTGAAGAGATCGCCAAACTGCGCGACCTACTCGCTAAGAAGGACTCTGTAGAGCCCGAGGAGATCCGCACGGCCACAGGACAGCTGCAGCAAGCGAGCTTGAAACTCTTCGAGCAGGCATACAAGAAGGTAAATAATACATATAGAAAATGTTAATTGAGACCCAGGCGCAAATATGAAAAAAAAAAATTAATGGTTGGAAAATAAACAAATAATAAATAATAATATAGTAATATAAAAAATAGCAAATTGCAATATAGTACAAGAAAAGAAGTCTACATAATTAAAAAGTGGAGAGTGAAATAAAAAATACGTACGTTAAAATTATAAGTACCTTAACACATTAACTAGGGAATAAATAGGCAATAAAATTTTATAAAATAGTTAAACTAAAAGGGTTACCTATGTTTAGGGTTTACATCTAAAAATTTAGAGTAAATCCATCATTGATATATTGTGATGGTTGTTCTCTATATATTTAATTTTATACAGCGTGTCTTTACAACCGCGACAATAAATGAACACACGTATAGAGGATAACTTTTTAAAATTGCATTAAACATTTACATTCTTTTAACATCAATATTTACAGTTATTAAATTTTCCAAAATAAATAATTTTAGAACATCTTTACGTTTAAAACTGTAACATAAAGTTCATTTGTAAAGGTCACAAAGCATATGAATGGGTTGAATGAATTTAAAAGAGACAAAACATACTGTTAGAAGGAGAGGCTACACAATGCGACACTGGCAACGAATGAAAAAGTCTCTAATGTATGAATCACTCAGTTGTAGTTGTATAGGATGTTACAAATTTTGTTTCTTTTTTACTTAATTAGTTTGAAAAAAAGTTTTTTTTAAGTATGGATTTTTTTTAACATTAATATTTGTTTATGATTATGGGCAAGTAGCGTTAGTCGTGTGTTCATTTAGTGTCGCGATGGTAACGACACGCTGTATATTTAGATACAGCTGCAGTATTCTTTGTAAAAACATTTTATTTGCAAAACGGGAAAATATGCAACAATAAGTTAAGTGCAATTCTAAAAAAAAACTTAAGCAGTAAAAAGGTGTACACAATAGAGTTTTACATAAACGTCGGAAACATAAAACGCGATACGACAGTGACTCATGCAGTCCTTAATTACCAAAACCAAGGAATAATTGGTATAGAATATACCATGTAATGTTTATATTTTCCCAACTATATTCCTCGCCATTTTCATCTGAGTGTGATAGCTGTGATACTTTTAAGGAATCCATTTAATTTTTGTGCGCCCTCATTGCTAACCAATGCACATTTTTGAGCCAGCTAGCTCCATTTCCCGGTGTAGCTGGTCAAGCAATAGTGCTATAAAAATCGGAGCGAGTTATCAGCCGGTGTCACTTGTACGTGGAATCGGACGATTGACGTCTCAGACAAATAATTTTTATTACCAGAGCCAAAGTCTGTGCATATAATAAAAAATATAACTGATTGTTGTCTGTACATGGAAGATATTTGAGAAAAATATGATTAGGGGCTTTTATCAACGCAATAGAACCTAAAACAATGTTAAAATTTCTGTTTGTCTGTGCATTTGTGCGCGCTTATCTCAGAAACGGCTTCACCAATTGGGTGCAACTTTCACTGATGTATTTTAGTAAGCTTCAATTCTTTCTAATCAAGAAACTGTTCTTTGCCAGATGGCAGCGGAACGCGAGGGTCAGCAACAACAGCAGCAGACTGAGCAGCCACAAGACGAGAAGAAAGAAGAGAAGAAGAACTAAATAGAATTCCCACAACAGGGGGTGTTTATTAGTTATGTTGCCACAATGTACATATTTAGGTTCCATCTTGTGTGGTTGCAATATGCCTATGTTTGTCAAATGTCACAATATCTCGTAAGCGAATCTTCCGTAACTGGGGAGATATGAGGAAGGAAGGATTTTTCACCAAATTTTTCTAGTAACTTGTGAGTGCATCTGAAAGTCAGCAGTTGTTTTCTGTTACATGGGGCTAGAGATTTTACTACAACTTCATTCTCTATTTCAAACTATATTGTATTTCCTTGAACAGCCCTTGATAGAAGACCAATTTTGAAATGGGCATATTGGAGCCATAACAATATTTGTAACAGCAAGATTACTCTGATACCAAATGTTAGGAGGTTGAGATACACTGTATTTTTTTTCTTTTCAACTGTTTTGTTTTTTATAACAAAAAAGGTAAAGGATAAGAGAGGATTAATAGATGTCTTTTCAAATATCTGGAATCTGTAAAACTGATATAAAAGCATTTTTTAATTTGTTATTGATAACTTTTAGGTAATGGAATTTTTATTTAGGCTGGCCCGTAAATGTACGATGAGTATTTTCCTATATATTTAATTAAATGTATATTGCTTACTGTTATACAAATTGGTTATGAATTTTTGAGATTTCACAATAACACGAAAAAAATATTTTATTACCATAACTTGTTAAACGTTTTAACATAACATTGTTAAAATTGTCATGGAACACCTCAACTTGACCATAATCCATGGATGTCTGTTTCGTTTTAAGTACTTCATACTAGTAATATGCTATTGGACGAATTGCTGCATAAATTGTAATATATATTTCATACAATACAATTATGGATAGTATAGACTGGTAATGTCTCTTTGAGCTATTACTTGCGGTTGTGACTAATAATGTTGAGGATTTCGAAATCGAGAAGTGTTAACAAGAATGTAGGTTTTATGGCTGACTTAAATTGATCATGTACATTGAGCTGGTGAGTATAAAAGTTCAATCGCAAACAAAATATAAATTACTGAAATAAAAAAAATTGCAATTATAGAATGACTGATTCAGTGTAACATAAATTGGACAAACATAAATATAAAAGATTGCTAAATGCCATACATTGGTATATAATTGGTCAAAAAGCTTCTAATGCACCATTTTTGTTGCAACTATCGAACATTTTCTTCGTTTCATTAATGGCTTGCTTTGTGAGTTATCACAATTTCGCCAATCTCAAGTTACTCTTAAAATTGTCCATTTTATAATATTCACATTGAAATTGTAATAGACAAATAAAAACTTCAAAAATCCAATATCTTCTGCAGACATGCTCAGAGAGACATTAGCAGCCGTCGAAGACATTTTTTTGTTCTTAATGCTGTTGTTTTTCTTTGGTCTTTCTTTGCAAAGGAGTTTCCAGTCGTGAAGTAGTTCAAGATTTTAGGGTTAGAAGTTATATAGCCGCGTATGTGTGCTTGTCTGAGTGTTTGTTTGTTAGGCGGGAAGAGGCAAACGTATGTCCGACTATTAGTTTAGTGAGAATATATTATTTAAAAAAATTATATTTGTGTTTTATTCATCAATCTAGTGACCCGCCCCGGCTTCGCACGTGTGCAATGTATTATACATATGAAGCTTCCTCGTGAATCACTATCTAATAAAAAAAAAACCGCAACAAAATCCGTTGCGTAGTTTTAAAGATCTAAAGCTTACATAGGGGCAGACAGACAGCGGGACGACTTTGTTTTATACTATGTAGTGATGCTGCGTTTAGCTATACTTTTTTTTTTTTGTTTTTTTTTTCCCTACTATGGCTCTACTGATACGTCAGTGATTTTGCCAATAACTAAGTACTTTGAGATCAACTTGATAAGGTGAGGACAATAAAAATGTCCGCCACGATCGGTTAGCAAACCGTATGGGAGGCACACTAATTTATTATAAACGGTCCTTGCACTGTTGCCCGCTAGACATTCCAGAGCTAAGTCAAATAGAGGCATCCGCGTGTAGGTTAGCGCTCACCGGCCACAGGCCGCTTGTACTAGTCTCAGCCTACCTCTCGGGGAATAGAACCCTCCTTAAAAGCGACCTAGATACGCTTCTTAACTTAGGCCCTTCCGTGATAATTGCAGGAGATCTAAACTGCAAACACGGCTCATGGGACATCAACAGCATCCCAAACAACAACGGAAAGCATCTCTTTAGCTTATCCGATAACCTAAATTTCAGTATAGTCGCTCCCGCGACTCCCACTAGGTATCCTACGGTGGACAACTACCAGCACGCGTCACCGAGTGTCCCAGACATAATGTTATTCAGGGAGGTCTCGCTCGACATCGAGTCGATAGAGACAATCCATGAACTAGACTCAGATCACAGGCCCGTCCTGTGTAAACTGGGCCAGAACGCCGGCGCGGTCCCTCCGACCAAATCCGTAGTGGACTGGCATCGTCTTGAGGTCAAACTCAAGGCCTTGGACCCCCAGGACTTAGTAGACTTACCCGAGACGATAGCTACGTTCGATGACGCAAATCGAGCGATAGCGAGTCTCCGTGAAACTATTACTTCCGCAGTCACAGACTCGGAACGGACGGTGAAACTGTCGGGCGACCGACGGTTTAACTTTCCGCCCGACCTACGACTGCTAATTAGACAAAAAAATGCAGCTAAACGCGCCTTCGACCGATACCGATCGGAATCGAACCGAACTCTACTTCGACGCCTTCAGCTAGAAGTCAAAGATCGTGTATCGAAACACCGACATACAACGTGGGACACTCTCCTAGAGGACATCGAGCCATCGCACACCGCCTACTGGCGGTTGGCCCGCAGTCTGAAAGCAGACCCCCGCGAATCTCTACCGCCGTTAGTTAGACCTAATAGCGCTTCAGTAGCCCTAGATGACTCCGAAAAAGCCGAATGCCTTGCGGATAACCTAGAGCGGCAATATACGCCATCGCGCGAACACACCGATTCGGCCCACCTAACGGAGGTGGACCGCGTAACCGAGACTAGGGCTGCGCTTCCACCGGAAGGCGAACCTTTAAATTCAGTGACCCCCGAAGAGGTCCAAGATATTATTAAAAATTTAAAACCAAAATCCGCCCCGGGCCCAGATAATATAAGTAATAAGATTCTCAAAGCTCTCCCTGGGCCGCTTATCTGTTTACTGGCGACAATTTTCAATACGCTTCTCTCCAGTTGCTCCTTTCCGGACGACTGGAAGCAAGCCACGGTTATCGGCATTCGCAAGCCGAATAAACCAGCCAATAAGCCCTCTAGCTATCGTCCCATCAGCCTCCTCAGTTGTCTGGGGAAGCTCTACGAGCAGCTATTGTTAAACAGGCTCAAAGAGCACGTATTTTCCAACGGCCTTCTGCCGACGGAACAATTCGGTTTTCGAGCTAGACACTTGTCCCGATCAGTTATACCGCCTAAAGGAGCACATCCTAAAAGGCCTTAACCACCCCAAACACATCAGCACAGGGGCTCTCTTCTTCGATGTCGCAAAAGCATTCGACAAAGTCTGCACAACGGCTTGCTTTACAAGCTGTACACACTCAAAGTGCCAGATAGGCTCGTACACACCATCCGGGCCTTTTTGTTGAACCGCTCTTTTCGATATCGAGTCGAGGGCACCCTCTCCACAAGCCGCCGCCTCACGGCCGGCGTACCACAAGGCTCCTGCCTCTCACCCTTGTTATTTACGCTCTACACGAGCGACATACCTAGAGACCCCACGTCACGTCAATCTCGCGCTTTTCGCGGATGACACGGCGCTCTTTTACTCAGATCGCAACCTCAGTCAATTAACGACTCGACTCCAAAGTGCCGCCGACCGCCTCGGCGATTGGTTCCGCAAATGGAGAATCGATATTAATCCAGAAAAAAGTATGGCGATTCACTTCACTCGTAGCACCCCCAACCCCCATCCGCCACACCGTTACAAAGGTCCTCGCCAGTACAGAAAGTTGGGGCAAATATCACTATACGGCCAAACTCTCCCCTGGGAGAAAACGGTCAAATATTTAGGAGTCACTTTCGACTCGCGTATGACTTTCACTACGCACATCAATCAAGTCCGAAATAAAGCCGCGTTCGTCTCCGGCCGGCTACACAATTTAACGAATAAGCATAGTAAAATGCCCTTAAGGCACAAACTACTGTTATATAAAGCTTGCGTAAGGCCAATCATGTCCTACGCTTGCATGATCTTCGCACATACAAATCCTACGCGCATTAACAAATTGCAAGTAGTTCAAAGTAAGTTTATCCGCCGCGCAACCGGTGCGCAATGGTATCAGCGCAACGTCGACCTGCACAGCGATTGCAGACTCCCGACGATTCGCGCTCATTTTAAAGATTTGACAAAACGGTTCTTCGATAGAGCCCAGCATCATCCCAACCCTCTGGTGGTAAGCGCAGCAAACTACCAACCGGACACAAACGCGAACGTAAACAAGTGTCGCCCGCGAAACGTCCTCATCGACCCGGTCGACGAAGAGGACTTAGATACGATGGACCCCCCACCGCCCGGGGTCCCGCCGGATAACACTACACCCACAGTTAGTGTAACAACAATCACACCAGTTCGCCCTCCCCTCCGAGCACGGCGAGACCCACACAACGCGTACACAAGGTACACCCGCGTTCCGGGACGGTTCTCACCGCTCCCAGCCACCGATTAGCTAAATGCACAGTCGACGGCCGTCGGGGTCTCGGTCCGAACCGGCGACCTCGACGGCCCTTAGATGACACACCATAGTAGTTAAACGCACGCATGAGCACATGCGCGACCCTACCCATTGCGGAGGGTCCAAACCCGTGGGTTCTGGCTAGCCCACCGGTTCTGCGTCCGATGAAGCTTTAATAGTCTCGGGACTGAAAGCAAAAACATCAGTTAATACAAGATACAAGAAGAAGTGATAGGGTAGAACATTCTTATCCTTTGTATAGGACGTTACTCTGTCCTAATAAGTAGGAAGCAGTCTAAT